AAGTGAATGTATAAAATTGAAAATGAAAATGAATAAAACATTTACAATAAAAAAAAAAGAAGCACCTGCAGTCCATAAGTGGGCGATGCCATCATCTGCCCCAGTGTTACCAGACCCTCCTCCTCCACCACCTACTTTATTTGCAGCAGATCGAAATTTAGAATGCCAACCCTCCTGTTCTTCTTCCTTTCAACCACCTATCCCGTTAGTGTCCACTTTAGGCCCTCCAGCATGGTGACTTGCTCTGCTTGACTCCACTATTAAAACTAAGGAGTCGAAGTTGGGGGCTGCAGTGTTGCAGTCCATAGCTAGCACCCTTAAGTCCAGCAAGATCGATGATAGCCAGGCTCAGGACCTTTTACAAGAACATGCCTAGGAATGGTTCCCCTATAAATGGAGGCCATCAATGATTCGGCAAAAGGCCACCCATAAGTGGGGCAATCGGACCATATGGAGAGCTAATTATGCTGTCATACAGCGGCTCTACAAGCTCCACTGTAAAGATAACGTGGCCACCGTACTGTCAGGGCTCTGGAGGCATGCTTATCGAGGTTCAGCACCACTCCCATCAGGGATGACCGACTTTTGGTCATCTGTGTTTGGAGCACCCAGTGCAGTTGATACTACTTCTCCTGTGCAACCACTGACTCTTTTGTGGTTGTTGCTTGTTATTTCCCTGTCTGAGGTTACTGTGGCCCTGCATTCCATGACAGTACAGTGGGCCAGGGCCGCATTTCTGCCACGGACCTTCTGGCACTGCACCAGCCATCTGTAGCAGCTTATTTCAACTTGCAGCCGGGTGTCCTCCTAGACATCTTGTGTGGTCCCGAGTGGTGTTCCTACCAAAAACTGAGAACCTAGCAGCTCCATGGGACTACTGCCCTATATCAGTAGCATCTGTATTGCTGCGGGCTTTTCACAAAATTCTCGCAAAGGACCTCCGAGACACACTACAGCTTTCCCCATTCCAGCACGCCTTCCTTCAGAGGGACGGCTGTCTCGAGGCAACGACCCTCCTCCATACGATCCTACGGAGGGTCCACACCAATCAAGGGCCTTGCGCAATGTTATTTCTTTACGTCACCAAGGCATTCAATATGATCTCACATCACTCCCTTTTTAGGGTTGCCGCTGGGGCAGGCCTTCCCCTCCGCTGCATTCCTATCTGAGCAACCTTTATCAGTTTTCCACCATTCAACTCCCAGGTGTAGTTATTCAATGCAGAAGGGGAGGTATGGCAAGGAGATCCTCTCTCACCTATTTATTTATCCTGGTCATCGATGACATCTTGTGGGCTTCTTTGACCACAATTGGGTTCAATCTAGCTGGCCAGAAGATTGACTGTCTAGCTTACGCGGATGATCTTGTGCTCCTGGCAGAAAGACCAGCCAGCCCTCTCTTCCACAAAGACCCTGCAGGAGAAGGGCAGTATGGATAACTGTTGGATCTGGCTGAGTGAGAGCTGTGGATTATAAGCATGCTGTTTTTGCTGTGGCCCTACAAAATTGTTAAGTGTTCCTACTGAACTTCATAGGAATATCAAGGTGACAGGTTTAGCTGTCTATGGTGATGATAACTGAACTAGACAGGGGATTGTACTCTGCAAGGAAAAAGAGGTTTTGGATAAGGAAGGTCTGCATGTGTTGTAGGTGTTGCAAATCAGCAATATGGGGTGGGTAGGTTATCTAAAAAGGGAAGCCGTCTTCTGGTTGGTGACTCAACTGTAAGAAGTGTCTATTTAGGAAAGGATGTGGAAGTTTTGAAATAGGTGAGTTGTTTGCCTGGTGCTACTGCCAGCAGAGAAGAGAGGCACATTGTTGCGGTTTGGAGGAAGCAATTCAGGAAAATGCTGTCTACTGTATCATTTCCTATAGATTTCCTGGCAATTGTCATTTTCCTTTCACATCCTTAGCTTGTTTAGATTTCTTCAACACAAATCACAGCAGACACTTCAGTAACAGGGGTCAAAAATAATGGGTCAGAATATGCCATGTTCTAGGAAAGAAAAAAATCTTTATTACACTGGAGTTTTCCAGTTGTTCTGTACACAATGCCTGAATTATATTCACATCGTGCAATTACTCATAATTTATTGTTCTGCCGGAGACCAATCTCAGGCTCTTCCTAGAAGGAAAAGGCATTAGATGGAAAACAAGACCCTTTCATTCAGGGCAATGAATTCGTTTTTAGTCAAATATCTTGACTGGCTGGCCTCTAACCCCTGCGTCCAAATGGAAAATGATTTTGCTTTTCAAGCAGTTCAAATGTTTAGATTTTACAGAAACATGTTGCTTTATTTTTATCCCTGTACATTCATCTCTGTACATTCTTCCGCTATCCCCTATGTTCTGTCTCTTGCTCATTTGATTTCCAAATTATCTCTTAAAGGTGCGAAAGAAATCAGCTCCCTGGAAATTACTCCCAGTGCCCACGAAGTTGTCCTCAATCTCTACACTGATTTTACCGTGAAATGTTCAGGCCACAAGGAGGTTATCTGGAAAACAGACAACAAGCATACCAAATTAGACACTGTCCTGGAGAAAAGGGGCACCATTTTTACCAATACCCTTACGTTAAGGAACTTGACTGGTTTGAACACAGGTGAATATTCCTGTTCCGACGATCAACACCTGGATGGAAAGGCCATCTACGTTTTTGTACCAGGTATTGGCGACTACACAATTTTGATACTTCTAATCCTGTAACTTATGCTTCATGTGTATGCAGGTGTTTGGTTCTGTGGTATGAACAGAAAGTTCAGAAGAAATAAAAAAAACAAGGACACTCTTCTGGATGCAGACATGGCATTTTCCAGATAACTCAAATGTATACATTTTCCAGGCCACACTACTTTTCCTTGAATAGTAATAATACAGTGTTTGCTTCTTCCTACTATCATCTCTACCTGCTGGGGAGGACCTTCCAAAGTTGAAGTAGGATGCCTAGATTTAAATATCTTTGTTTTTCATATACTGTACACCTTAAGTTCTACCTACTTTTGTGCTTTGGCTGTGGCCACCGATGTAATGCAGAGCCTAACAAATTTCATCTATGAGAATAAAGACTTTGAGATGGAGGCAAAAATCCTGTTCCTCCTTTAAACTGACCTATGGTGTCAATACTGGATTAATACACAGGGTTTTTTCTTTGAGATAAATTCCTCTGCTGCCTCCATACAGTATATAAAAGTTACAAACTTGCAGCCTATTTAAAACCAATACCTATCATACCAGCTGTGGAGGTGTATATGCACTCATACATTTATACACATGCTAAACCCCAAAACACACACAGATCTACGGTATTATACTGTGGAACAGTGTAATAGAGAGGAACCAAACCACATCTCTCTGCAGAGGAAACATCATTGTTGCATTTCTCTTCCACATTCCATACTGAGCTGCTCTGGTCATAAGTGTATCCCTTATTGCATCTAGGATGCTGTTTGAGGAAAATCAATATGTCTTCAGTCTTTGTTATTTAGATACCTCCCTAGTCGATGACAAAACCAGCTTCTCTCCATTCTTCTTTGCAGATCTCTCCATGCCTTTCCTACCAAACAACCAGGAAGACACCTTTGTGTTCAGCACAGGCTACAGTGAAGTCATTATTCCTTGCCGTGTGACAAACCCCAATGCCACGGTCTCTCTTCATGAAAAGAGGGTTAATGATCCAGCCCCTGGAGTGTATTTTCCACAGCAAGGCTTTAAAGGGCAGTTTGAAGACAAGGCCTACATCTGCAAGGCAACAATAGAAGATGAAGAGTTTGAGTCTGAAACATTCTATGTTTACAATCTCCAAGGTGATCTTGGATCAATGTTTATATGTTTTCATTATTATGCACAGCATTAGCCAGTGTGTGGAGCAGAAAGGATTCTCTGAATGAAAACAAGACATCATCCTATATAGGGGTGCATTAGGAATAGCACTTAGACTTCTATATGCTTCATAGTTCTTTTACAGCCCTCTCTAAGCGGTTTACAGAGTCAGCATATTACCCCAACAATTCTGGGTCCTCATTTTACCCACCTCAGAAGGATGGAAGCTGAGTCAACCTTGAGCCAATCAGAATCGAATTACCGGCAGTCAGCAGAATTGGCTTACGTTCTAACCACTGCACCACCTAGCAATGGGAATGCCACACACAAGCCCTATATTTTTTTTAAAAAAAATCCTTGTGTTCATCTGAAAAAGAAAGAGCGGATTCTGCTCATTGCTGCCTGGAATCATTCTGGTGGGTGGAATTGACAGACCTTGTGTATCTGCTTCACTAAAAACCTTGAGCAAGCTTTGCAAAGAGATCCATCTTTCCTTCCTTTGGAAAAAAAATACCTCAGTTTTCAGTGAGAGCACATTCCTTAAACAACTGAGAAGTGAACCTCATTACTTGCCAAAGTAATGGGCTACTCTTTGGTACTTGAGCAGGGCTGATACGTCTATTATAGGAAGCTGATCTGTTTGATCTGAGCTATAATACTTAAACTGCTTTGCATCTAGGGCATGTGTCTGATTATTATAATGTGAATGTATTTTTCTGACTTGTCTTTCAGCCTGAAGTTGAGGAAATGGTCATGTCAGGTCACCTTGTTGATTTGGCAGAGCAGAGACATATTCAGATCTCCCTTGTGATTAAATTCAAAAAGCCAGACCAAGGCCTTTGCCCTGTTCTCCACAAGATTTTAAGATTTTAGGCTCTAAGAGAAGAGAATGTATCTACCTCAGGATACATTCCATTGAACTATGGAATCCTTGGTGCTCTCTGAACTTCGTTGTTTGCTTGCAAACATTTTATTACCCAACTAAGTAACATCATCAGCCTGAGCGTGTTACCTAGTTGGATAATGAAACATCTGCAGGCAAACAACTAAACCCATAGAGCATCAAGAACTCCACTTTAGGGAGTCCTCTTGTTGCACTGTAGTTCCGTACTGGGCTAGTTATTATTTACTGTTAACATCTTATGCTTTATTAATATTGTGGTTTTCAAATTTTCTATGTAGTGAAACCCACAGAAAACAATGTTCTCACCCTGAGACAGCAGCATATTGATTGAGCTTGCTGCAGTTGTTTTTTTTCCATATAAGTTGCTGTGAGCTAAGTTTCTTCCCTATTCACTAGTTTTGTTCTTTTATAGTTCCTCCTCCTACATCCTTCATCAATGTTTCTATCAGTGCGTTGCAAACTATTTTGAAACAAGGTGAAAATATCGTTGTGACATGTACAGTAAGAGGCGTTGAGCTGATCGGTTATATCTGGAGTTATCCTGGACAGACGGTAAGCAAGTAGACATAGATCTTAGTGTGAGTGTTTGCATTTGTGTCTGTGTTTTCAAATACCCACAACACTGTCTTATGCCCTAGGATATCAAACCATGTAGTACGGCGATATTACTATTATTTATCCTTATCTTTCAAGTTACCTATTCCTTTACCATTTTATGACTATCACTTAGTTGTTATGATTTGTGCTGCTTGTTTTATTTAGTATCTTATGGTTCTCACTGAGTATTCCATCTTATTATTCATGATGATTGGATTATGATTGTGATCACGATTTATCCCCTGATGTTTGTATGTACATTGAGAGCTTATGTACCAGAGACAAATTCCTTGTGTGTCAATACACACTTGGCCAATAAACAATATCTATTGTAGTCATAGGAAATAAAATAGACTCTGAGATATCTTCTTTGCAGACGTATGCTTAGATATTACTGCAAAATGGCAATTAAACATTTGGTCCGCTAAGCAAAACAAAGAAATTTCCTTTCTTAATTATTATAGAAATAACTGCAGATGTTCTTTCCTAATCACAATAAAGCCAAAATAACAACATGTGTATTGGATTCTCCTCTGTGCATCTGAGGTTGTCAATATGACAAAGCAGTATTCCACAGATATTTTCTGCTGCAATTCATGTCTGTTTTTAAAAATGCAACATGGAATCTGAGAAAGATGTGCATTTTATCATTCAGAGTAGCAGATTTATATTTTTATTACTATCAAATATCCCCATTGAAAAAGTGTTCTACAAAAGAGAATTAGCCTCCTCTGCTGGAGGAGAGAAAAGGTATACCATGACTTTATCATATATATTTCAGGTTCGCTACTGGTAGGTTTTCTCCTGAAATCTTGTGTGTCACATGTGCTATACTAACAAGACAGAAACAATTGTCATATTTTCACAGTAAAGAAAATATATTAAATGAAAGCATGTCATCATTTGAGGTTCCAAAATGTTACATTCATTGTTGTTTGAGCTTTGGAAACTCTGTATTACTGCCTCTGCATTATTTTTACTATCTTTTACAGGTAGGCAAGGAGGTAAAACCCGTGACACATATTGCTCCAGGAGTCAAACATTATACTAGTTCCGTCCTAACCATTCCAAATGCAGAATTGGATGATCAAGGTCTATATGCATGTGAGGCCACGGACACGTATTTTGGACAAAAAGAAGAAAAAAATATCTTTATCAGAGTGATTGGTATGTGGGTGAAATATTTTTCTTAGTCATCAGGTTGATACCAAATCTTCCTCAAATAACTTTTATGGCTTTAGGCATTTCATTAGTATACATAGTAATGATTTTTATAGGCAACATTGGAAAACAAATCTCTCTTAATTCATTCCCACTGAAAAATAATAATACAGGTAGTCCCCTGCTTACAACAGTTTGTTTAGTGACCATTCATAGTCACAACTGCACTGAAAAAAGTGGCTTATGTCCATTTTTCACACTTACAACCATGGCAGGATCCCCATGGTCATATGATCAAAACTCAGATGCTTGACAATTGCTTCATATTTATGACAGTTGCAGTATCCTAGGATCAAGGTCATTATCTTTTGCAACCTCCTGGCAAGCAAAGTCAATGTGGAAGCCAGATTCATTTAACAACCATGTGACTAACTGAACTACTTAACAACTCTGGCAAGAAGTGTCATAAAATAGGGCAAAACTCCAAAGTGTTTCACTTAGCAACAGAAATTGTGGGCTCAGTTTGGTTGTACATCGAGGACTACCTGTAACCGATCTTGCCTTTTGCTTTTTATCTCTGTATTTAATGTTTTTATACTTTACATATTAACCATTGCAATTATTCACTTAACAAAAGTGGCAAGAAAAGTCATAAAAAGGGGCAAAAATTCACTTAACAAACGTTTCACTTAGCAACATTAGTTTTGGGCTCAACTGTGGTCATAAGTCGAGAACCACCTGTAATGTGTAAATCAGTTTACCAGTATCATTTTGTTTTGTTTAAGAAATGCACATTTGTCGTAAGACTATAAACAAAATTACAAGGCATCTCTCATATTTTGCTCAAGATGTCAACTATTTTTTTCCCCAGATAAAAACATAGATTGCCTAAGTGGCACAGGAGTTTGGGTTTTTTTAAAAAAATTAAATTGAGATTGTGTTTCAGATTCTGGTTTTCTTTCACAAAATTTATGTAATAGATATGTCAAGCTTCAGCTCAAATGCCTCACAAAAATAGCAAAACAGTATTTTCCTTATTAGTTGCCTAATAGTATTATTCATTCAGAAACACTGAATAATATTTGCTTGCAAAGTTAATCAAAATAATGCTTTGTGTTGAAGAAGAACTAAAAAAAAGTAAGGAATTTCTAGGCAAAAGCTGGGTTTTGACTATGTGAGTAGCCAATGTTACCACTGCAGTTGTCTAAAATTTTGATACGTTTTGGTACTGAGAGGAACTTCTGTTTCAGAACAGTTGCTATGTCTCTGAAACAAGCAAGCCACCAAAAATAAAAAGCAGCCTATTTTGAAGATCAGCTTGTCCCCTGCTAAAGAGCAAGGGATTTTTTTTTCTAGGCTCCAAGAAAGAAAATAGATATTCCAGGTTGTCTAATACAACTCACCTTGGACCAATCCAAAACTGTAAAAAGGAGGTAATAAACAGGATCATCAAATTTGCTGTGCTTTATATCTCATTTTAAAAAAGAAGGTAGTGTGCTAGTACAATACAAAGCAGCGATAAGTGATTTCTGTTCTGTGATCAGTTAAAATAAAACTTTAAAAAGAAACTCATCCTAACATCAATAGCATTCAGTTATAGCAATTGAACCATGAGCTTTCTTCACACACGTTCTATCTAGCAAAACAGTCTGGCCCTTTTTAATTTTTATTTTTGCCCCTTTTTTTAAAAAAAAAAAAAAGCTTAATTACAGAAAGGCTAAGTAAGTCCAGGTTACAGTTTTTATAAATTAGAATAGTAATGTTAAATGGAAGCTCTTTCACACATAGTTTTATGCTGCTTATTAAAATAGTCAATTTGTGCTAAAACAGAGAGCCAATTAACTATCATTAACTCACATTGTGAAGCCCAAAAAATTAATATAGGTCCATTTGTGTTTGTTTTTTTTTCGGTTCACCTTTTCTGACGCAGAGCGTGGCTTTGTGACTTTTCACACTGTTCTGAATGAGACCGTATTTGCAGAACTGCACAAAAGTCACACCTTTTTGATACAGATTGAAGCCTATCCAACTCCAACCATTGTCTGGTTTCAGAATAACAAGACCCTGAATTCTGAGAGCAACAGTGATTTTGCTATCAACAGCAGGAATTTGTCAGAAACCAGGTAAAGTGTTTCCTCTCAATATTTTAGCATGTGCAGCGCTGAGCCATCTATTATTTTTAATTGATGTAGTGTATACATCATGGACAGGTATCTATCCTCCCTTTACTAAGAAAAATCTAGTATCATTAGTGGATTTTATAAAACTTTGCACCCATGTGGAAAAAATTGATAATAGTAATAATATAAAGATAAGGGAAATATTTGTGTTTCTCTTTCTCTGTAGGCATTGGTCCAATATAAATCAAGCATCCAGGAGCTTATATTTCCTAAATCATAAATCAGAATGGGATGGCACATTATATTTAAGTTAGTTCTCATTTAATAAAGGAAAATGTAAAGGTTCCCCTCACACATATGTGCTAGTCGTAGACTCTAGGAGGCAGTGCTCATCTCCATTTCAAAGAGCCAGCACTGTCCAAAGACATCTCCATGGTCATGTGGCTGGCTTGACTAAATGCCGAAGGCACACGGAATGCTGTTACCTTCCCATCAAAGATGGTTCCTATTTTTTCATTTTTACATGCTTTCGAACTCCTAGGTTGGCAGAAGCTGGGACAAGTAACGGGAGCTCACTCTGTTACGCAGCGCTAGGGATTCAAACCGCCGAACTGTCTTAGCCACTGAGCCACCCTTCATTTAATTTAATCACTTCATTTAATCATTTAATACATGATGCCAAATTCTAGTTTAACAAATATCACAGTTCATTCTGGCTTAACTAAAACGGGTTTCTCTCTGAGTGGAAAGTATGCCCCTGAAAAGTAACATAATGTTTGCCTCCATATAAGCTCCATTATCTCGACCGTTGCAAGATTCTCTTTTTTCCCCCCTCCAGGTATCAAACTACTCTGACCCTCGTAAGGGTGAAAGCAAGTGAAGGAGGTTTGTACACTGTCCGAGCATTTCACGAAGATGACTTCAAAGAGCTCTCCTTTTATTTGCAGATTAATGGTGAGCACACCTCCTCACAATCAATCAGTTTTATTTACGCCAAAAGTATCTCTTGGCAAAGATTATATTTTATTCAACCTATCTTTATTTTAAGTCATATTTTAAATATTCAGGACGGAGCAATTAGTTTTCACTTAAATATACCAAGAGTAGGGTGAATCAGCACGTCTGTGGGGTGGGTGTGCTATAACAGCTATAACTTGAGGACCTGGTCGTAAGTAGGATTTAACTTTCTTCCAGAGCCAATTTTAGAACGGGATAGTCTTGGCTATCGAAAGACAATATGTTTCCCCTTGAGCAAGGATGAGGATGGGGGAGAAAAATCACTTGTAGCTTCCTTGACTAGCCACACCCCTGCTTGGAACTTCTGTTCAAGAGCTGTAGCTATTGGCTCTCATTTGTCAATGTTAATGAGAGTACTCAAAGACAGTCCACTGGCAGAAACTGGCAGAATGAAGGACAGGCATGTGTTGGGGTCTCTGGTTGAAAACATAATCATATTTCTGGCCGATGCCATCTGGGGAATCAAAGAAATTGACTGTCCTCTTTTGTTCTGGTCTTTTCAGAACCTGAAAAAGATGAGGGCAGTTTGGAAAATGAAGCAAGTTGTGAATGTCCGCACATTCCTCCTTTATCAGCTACAGCTGAACATTAGCACGCAGTAGGGTGTCTCTGGTACACTTGCAGCTCCTTCATGCAGGCTAATCAAACGATGAGGGGACTCTCATTAAAATAAGGAGCTTGAGAGGCTCCTTTCATCCGTCATGCTTTCCAAATATATTCTTCTTCTCTCCTACTCCTGTTCAATAAAAGCCTTGCTTCCATCTAGCGGTTGTTTGGATGATTACAGTCTAAACAGGGGAGCCATGGAGTTGGGTTCGAAGGCAAGACAGACTGAATATTGCAAAATCTGTATAATGGGATTTGAAAGAGAAGAATTTGGGATTTTATGATTTCCTTATCCTTATATTTATCCAAAATATAAACATAAATAGGAGAAATTGTAGTATTGGAGAAATAATAATAAGGAAGGCTCAGGGGTTCAGCCGGTTCGGACTGGTTCGGGCAAACCAGATGCTAATTTTGCATTTGGTTTGCCGAACCAGTTGTTACAAGGACTGGCTGGCCCCACCCATCTCGCCCCTCCCAGGAGTCTCCATGTGGCCAGTGAAAGTACAGGGCCCACACAGATGCTCTGGGAGGGTGAACAATGGGCCTACTGGAAGTTCTGGAAGTCCAGAAACAGGGCTATTTCCGGCTTCCAGAGGGACTCCAGAGCTTGGGAGAGGACGTTTTTGCCCTCCAGAGGCTCGAGAAAAACCTCCAGAGTCTGGGAAGGGCAAAAACAGACCCCCCCCATGTCAAGGCTGAGTAGGCCATGCCCCCCATGGCCACGCCCACCCAGCAACTGGGCAGAAAACCTGTTGCTAAAAATTTTCAATCCCACCTCTGGGAAGGCTGTCTTAAAGTATCATGGGGGACATGGATTAGAAAGTAGGCCTTCTCTTGTGCAACCTCTAAATTACATAACATTCTGTCTCCAGAGCCTGGCTCATAATGTTTCACATCTCAAAAAGATGCTAAAGCCTTTTATTTAATAAGGGAGATTATAATGTCTAAGATAAATTTATGGGCCATAGTGTATTCTTTATTGCTTTTTGTTTTAATGTTCCTTTTATTTTTATTTTTCTAAACAATAGATTGGGTGTCTTCTTTTTTTCTTTTTGGCTGGGGAAGAATGGTGGCTAATAAATAAATGGGTCATTTTATCTTCTAATGCAATTTTCATTGGACACTGTTCTCAAGAGCTTCTTATGCCTCTTGAGCAAAAAGCTTCTTCCTTCCCTAAAGCTGTCACTTTCTAGTGGGTCTTGAAATTGTCCCATTAAGGAGTAGAACAGTTTCCCATTCTTCCTTCCAAGTGCGCAGTGTGGTTGTTATTGTTACTCCAGACTTTCCTTTGTCATGTGTTACTGTCCATGTCCAGCTCCCTGGCTCAAAGTTAGTAAAACCTACTCAGAAACTCAACATTGCATGACAAGAATTTTAATGCAGGGCCATCTGTGGGAGATAAAACAATGGGAATTTTATTTTATTTTTAAAGTTAAATTGGGAGCCACAACGGTGCAGCTGAAACTGCACCATTTTTTATGAGAGTCACATGTGCAACATTACTAAATGGGCTTCAACCATAAAGTTGTGGGTACCATCTTGACATTTAATTATTAGAATAAAGCTGCTTTAACAAGCTAACTTGCTGTCTGACAACAGGAAGTGGAGATCCTTAGTTTCTCTATGACCGTTTAATTAATTAAAGGATTTAATTATTTTTTTCTGGCTTTCCCACAGTTTAACAATTACTTATCCTTGTACTTCTTAGCTAAAGTGATTGTAATTATAGTCTATTCATATTCATCTAAAGGGTTCTGGTTAGATTCATACAACGTGCTAATCTGAAGCCTAAAAGCTGCATTATAGCCTAGCATATCATGTAAACCCAATTTGTATTACTCAAAAGCTATGGTTTATGATTCAGCATACCTAGCCAATTGTTGTTTATGCAATCATTGTTAAGTAAAATCTTGGCATGTTATCTTAGTGGATATTTGCAGTGGTTCACATGAATGAAAATCATATTGCTCCTTCAGTCTGCCTTTTTTGGGGGGTGGAAATTTTATCCCATTGCTATGCTTGCATTAAAATGTGTCTTCTAAAGTGTGGCAGGACCACTGTGTCCATACCAGGTCTGAGTAATAGGTATTAATGTAGCCGTGTTTTCTTAGATTTAATGTGATCCTTAATTTACTCACAGGCTCTGTAACTATAGTGCATCATTTATTTGCAATCTTCCAAGTAGCAATATTGCTCAATAACTGGAAACTGTGTATGTCTCCAGAACTTTAGGGGATTTCCTAATGAAGTTCATTCCAGAAGTTCATGAATATGAAACCGAAAGCACTCAGTTTAAAAAATTCTAAAAAATAAATAAATTATAGGGTAAGTGGAATATCAGTTGAGCAAGATATAGCAGTGAATTTAAACGCCATGTTTCTGACTCATAAAGTACTTTTTGTACTGTATTGTTCATTTTTCAGGAAGCTTTCCCTTGCAAAAACAGTATACCCCTATCACCAATCATTTGTTATCTCATATTCTTTTCTCCAATATAACCAGTCCCAGCTACAGTGATTGAACTGAGAGACAGTAGCAACAAAACAAATGGTGAGCAAACAGTGATTTGTACTACAGAAGGAATGCCCCAACCAAAGGTTACCTGGTATACCTGTAATAATGACAAATGGTAAGGAGAACATTTGCACCAAACATACTGTATTGAGTGCTTTTGCATGTAAAGCCCTGGGTAGGGAGAACAGCAGGAAAGAACTTGCCATGGGATTTCGCTGCAGACCAGTCTTTTTATAATCTCATTATACATGAGGTAAATTCATATCTTGTTATTGGTTAGAGCATGATTTGAATCTCACAAGAAGTAAAATAAGCATCAAAATGCTTCAGTGCTTTCTTAGGAATAAGGTTATCTAGCATTCCAAGCCCACAATTCCAGCAGGTTATCTGCCATTCCTCCCCTTCTCTTTTCATTTTTTTCAATTGACCATCAACTTTCCACAGTTACTGAGCATATTCAGTCCTTTTTTGGAATGGTTCTGTTATCCCATATATATTTTTGAAGGGGTGTGTGGAAGAGGAGATGTTTACTTCCACAAACTTTCCCCAATCATCCCTGTGGTGTCACAGTGGCCGTTTTTGGCCAAAATTATTGGCCATTTTGCTTTTTTCCATAAATACTCTGAGAGAACTGCAAAATAATTATAAGAATAATAGCTGCTGCTCTTTGGCTTGCCAATAGATGCCTTTGTGGTTACAGTTCTCTGTTGCTTTATGATTGAATATCTTTTTCCTAAGCTAAAAGGCCTCAGTTCTTATGACTTTTCTTCATAGGAAATTTCTGAATTCTTAACCATTTTGCCCCTTTCTGCACATGCAATATATTTTTTGAAATGTGGTGACCGGAGCAGTATATTTCAAGTATGGACACACTTAAGACTTTTCTTTTAATTGAATTTGTGTTCTGTCTTCCTTCCATCATGGATACCAAAGGGACATCCAAAGAGTTCCCAAGTGCTCCTCTCCTGTCCAACCAGACTACAAGATCTTTTTACTTTAGGAATATGCCTGAAATACATGTTTGCATGCCCTGCTCTGGGTTGAATAATTCACTCTGTAATAGGATAGCTTGAGAAGCTAAGCATGAATGTACAGAACCTACTTCTGAGAAAACCTTTAGTGGGACTAACCTTTAGATGTGCAGACAAAGGAATATGCTACAGTAGAGATGTAACATATTACTCAATGTGATGGAGGCACTGGTCAAACTCTCTTTGATTGCTTTCCGAAACAGGTGTGTGGGGAAAACTACTATGATCCTGGGAAACACCTCAGAAGAAATGAATCTGCAAACAAATTTCACTTATGAAGATGACCGAAAAGTATACATTGTGACAAGCAAGCTCCATTTCCACAGAGTAGATGAACCTATCTTTATCCAATGTGCAGCTCAAAATCTCCTTGGTGCACACACTCAGCAAATCACCCTGGTTCCATATAGTGAGTCCTGCAATAACCATCTTATTGTTTTTGACCCACATGTAGATATGCAAGAGTGTTATTATACTGCCGTGGGCAGAAGTGGTTTTGTGTCCCCTAGCTGTACCATACATTGGTGATAACTGTGGGTAATTTCCAGTTTAGTTTTCACCCAGCATCATCCCAGTTAGTCCCCATATTCAGATCACAGCAAGCGTAATCGCCATTCAGCTAAACTAGCAAAAATATAGCTTAATGCTATTTAATAAACATCAGTACATGTCAAAAGATTTAACTAGCAAAAACATGAAACAGGCAGGGAAAGAAAAATATATGAACAACAGGCAAAAGAAATTACATTATATATGTATCTATCAAAAAGCACAAAAGTTTTCAAAATTACTAACAACAATACTGTGGGTAATTGGCATGGACAGACTAAAAAGAAATATGGTAATATTAAGTCTCTGTAAACCTTGAAGGTGAAAAATGGATTAAGAATCTAAATATGTATATTGGGACAGCATTGGCCATAAATGTATATGTAAATTTAATAATTCTGTTTACGTTTCTTGTTTTAGATCCACCTTTTAAAGTGATCGTTATTTCAGTAATCGTGGCTTTTGTGATTCTCATGGTTCTTTTCCTGGTGATCCTCATTTTCTTGTGGCGAAAAGTAAGAATTTGCTTTTAGCCCTTAGTGTCTCAGACTATTAAGTTCTCAGCTTTTGAATAATTATGCTGAATTTCAGAGAATGATTGGCTGAACAAACTCCTGAAGCCATAGGAATAATAGCTCTAAGAATAATAGTTGATTTGCTTAACTTATTATTATTATGAACTGTAAGTCTACTATGCCAAGGTTCTGAGAATAATCTGAAATACCAATCAGAGTTTACAGTACTTATAAAACTCCCCATAATGTAGGACAAGTACATACTTGTCTATAGGATTATTAATGTTCTTTTTTTTATTTTGAAATTATATTCTCAATTTTCTTAGTGACAATGTGTCAACTTTTAAAATGTGTAACTATAATCAAAATGATAACGTCAAAAAGGGAATGAGCATTCTTCAAGTTTGTAAAAGGATTTTTAGCTTTATAGTATGGAAAAAAAGCTAATGGAGCTGCTTTTAAATGGCTGTTTTGGGGTCCCAGTGAATGGGTGGGATAAGTTACAGGCTGCGGCTCTTATTCAAAGACCCGTTGATTTATGTGCAGAAACTTCTGCTGATATTGTAATGTACCATTTGAGCTACTTTAGCTGTCTTATGGAAGGGAGTGAGGTAGCACCCTTCCTTGGAGAAAGGCCTTTGTACGTAGGGACAGACTATAGGTTGGGTGTGCAATAATACCTTGTGCAAATTGTACAAGGAGGAGATCTCCAGATTGAGCCTCTTCTTGCAGTGTGCTGCATCTACCATCTTCTAAATCTTTTGTTTCCTTCTACCAGAAGCCTCGATATGAAATTCGCTGGAAGGTGATTGAGTCCGTCAGCTCCGATGGGCATGAATATATCTACGTGGACCCTATGCAGTTGCCTTACGATTCCAGCTGGGAAGTCCCAAGGGACAGGCTGGTTTTAGGTGAGAAGAGGAGGAGCAGGATAAGAGAGACATTTAATACATAGAAGCCAAATGCCACTTAAATACCACCCTTGCCACTGTATGACAAAGATAGCATTCTTGCAATTAAAATTAAGGGTTTTTTAAAAATGGAATTCTATGGGGAACATAAAGACTTAACCCACAATGAAACCATTTTATTGATTCTTCTCCATGACAGTTAGGGGGATGAGAGTTCATTTCTATGAGGTTAAAGGAGGTTGCATTCAGAATTCCAGGTCTGATTTTCGTTTCTCACCAGATGGCTCTTAGACTGTGAAGCCTCATCCTTTGATCTGCAGCATATTTTTCAGAGACTTTTAAGGATGCTTTAGAATATGGGTGACAAGGCATAACTATATTCAGATTGTAATATAATATGCATTACTTAATATTATGGGAAACCCCAGTATTTCACATTTATTTATCTATGTGGTGAGGTGATTCATAAACATGGAAGAACTGGGCTGGGAATAAGATGAAGGCTGAATCGGGAGGAACAAAAAGAGGTTGCCAAGGAGACATCAGCCATGTTAATGCCAGAGGAGAAAGCCCTTACATTGGGGGCTTAGAAAAATAATCAGCAGCTTGTATAAACAATATACATTGCAGTACTCTAGATAAAATGTAGTTATTAAATTGTATTGCATGAATATCATAACAGTGGCCTTGACAGTTAAGACTATAGTAATGAAGGAGGAATGTTGGTATGTTTTATAGTTTTTACAGGCGCGCGCACAATGACTGAGGAGGCGACTGGTTCTAAAAACTATTAGGCCGATCCCATGCTAGGATTCCTAGAAGGAGCTTGTGGTCAGTCAGCAGTAGGAACGGGCAACCATACAAGTAGTAATGGAAATGTTTTACTCCCGCTACGACAGCTAATGCCTCCTTATCCAGCTGGCTTCAGGCTTGGATAAGGTGCGGGAGTAAAACGCTATAGGGGCTTCTGACCCATCGGGATATGAATGACTCAAGACAGCCCCAACCCCAAAGGGATAGGCGTCAGAATCCAGCACAAGGGGTAATTTTTCATTGTATTGGGCCAAAACGAGCGCGAAGTCAACAGTTCCTTGACAGCCGTGAGTGCATGTGCCTCGTGGCTCGCCAAGGCCACTGTGTGGAGCTGTCCAACAATCTATGGAGTGGCTCCGTAACAGAGGCCTTATGAGGGGTGAAAGAGGAATAGAAATTTAGGAGGCCCCAAAAGGCCTGCAATTCGGCCTTATTGGAGGGCACCGGCGCTGAGGTGATGGCGTCGATTTTAGCCGGCGTTGGGTGGATGCCATATTGGTCAATCAAATACCCCAAGAATTCCACCTCAGGGAACCCTAGGTGGCACTTAGCATGTTTTAAATGGAAGCCGGAAGCACGGAACTGCGTCAAGATGGCCTGAAGGGTTTCGATGAGTCCTGACCAATCAGCTGCAGCGATCAGGACATCATCAAAATAGTGGGCGACCCCGGGGATGCCATGGAGCAAGCGCTCCATTAAACTCTGGAAGATGCCTGGGACAACACTAATACAGAATTGCAGGCGCCGGCATTTGAAAGCGCCGCGGTGTGTGACGATAGTCTGTGCAGCCGCGATTTCATTCTCAACTGGGAGTTGTTGGTATGCCTGCGCTAGATCCAGCTTGGTGAATACCTTACCTTGGCCCAGAGAAAGCAAAACGTGTTGCATGACTGGCACAGGGTAGGGATGTGCTTGCAATGCCTTATTTACGGTTGACTTATAGTCCGTGCAGATCCTAATGGATCCGTCGGATTTAAGTGGAACCACAATAGGCGTCTCACACCTGGAGTGATCTACCAGCTCCAAAATCCCTTGGGCCAGTAGTTGGTCAAGCTCGGCATCGACTTTTTCTCTCAATGCGAGCGGTATCTGTCGCGCTTTAAGGCGGAGGGTCAAGATTGAGGGAAAGGGGGGGTGCCCTTGTAAGTGCCTAAGGATGGGTCAAACGCATCAGAGAATTCTTGGATTAGGGAGTCGAATTCATTCGCCAGTAGGGTCAAATGAATACCCGAGATAGACAGCCCTAAAGCACAGAACCAATCAAGTCCTAGTAAGGAAGCTAGAGGGTTCTGCACGACTATGAGAGGCAGAAACCCCTTGAAACTGCCGTATTTTATCAGGAAACGGCCGCAGCCGACAATAGGGATGGGGTTTCCCTGATAGTCTCTCAAGCAGCAGGTGGACGGGCGCAGCTGGTGGTGATGGAGATGAGGTAGAAGGCTGTGCAAGGTATCCAAGACATGATGGACCTTGCAGAGCCCATGTCCAGTTTCATGGAGCAGGGCTGGCCCTCAAAGGAGATCTGGAGGTGCAGCTTACCACGACCTCCCAGGGGAGTTGAGGCAGAGTCAATAGCCCACTCAGAACGGGTGTCCTCCAAGTCTCCAATAGTGAAACAACTCTGACGCCTGGTGGCGGGTGGGCAAGCGGTGCGTTGGGGAGAGTTAGCAAAGTCAGTGGGCTGGTGATCAGCAGTCCCAGAACGGCAGACAGATGCGATATGTCCCTTCTTCCCACATTTTTGGCAAACGGCAGATTTAAACCTGCAGGTGGAATGCAAATACTTCCCCTCGCAACTCAGACAGCTTCTCTTGTCTTTTTGGGTAGCCGCGCTATTGTAGGTCAGTAGCTTGAAGCGGTCTATGGCTAGATCCACTTCAGATTTGAAGTCATCAGGATCTTGTTGGTAGTGGACCGAGGATACAGGGGGAAGAGAGAGATTTGCCTGGTGGAACCTGCGGAGGTCTGGTGTGGACTGGTCGGCCATCTCGGAGGCGCGAGCCTCATCCACAGCGATTTTCAAAGAGAGTTCTGACCGGGCTAGAATTCGCCAGTGGAGGTTTAGATCTTTTAGGCCGTAAACGAATTGTTCCAGGAGCATCTCATCCAAGTCAGCGAACTTGCAATGAATGGCAGCCACTCTGAGGGAAGCGATGTGGTGGCTGATCGATTCCCCCTCAGCCTGTACACATTTATGGAAAAACTGTCGCTAAGCGAAACAGGACAGTCTAGGAGCGTAATGAGTTTTTAGCTTAGTGAGGAGCAAGTCTCATGGCATTGTGTGTACTGGGGTTGGCAAGGATAATGCCTGAGCTGTGGCGAACATTTCGGGGCCACAGTAGAAAACTCCCCGCTTCCATTCAAGGGAGAGCCCAGTGAGATTGTGAGCCTGAAGGAAACATTCGAAGCGCTCAAGGAATGCGTCCCAGGATTCTGCCTCAGGGCGGAAAGGGGCAAACACAGTCGCGGCGCCCATATCAGGCACTTGAGTTGGGTCCAAATCAAACACCTTCGTCTCCAGTTTTATAGTTTCTACAGGTGCGCGCAATAACTGAGGAGGCGACTGGTTCTAATAACTATTTATTAACATGAAGCTGTTGGAATAGAACAGAACAGAATGGAGGGGCAAGCCCTACCTGACAGCTATTTATATGTGGGGCTGTCAGGTGGGGAACCAATGAGAGGGTTATTATTTTCCCGCCAGCCGGCAGGCATGTCTCATCCAATCAGGGCTTCTCCCGTGTCCCTCAGCAGCCGCCGGTCGAATCTCTGAGGACACAATAGTATGGGTGTTTCTTTAAATTCCATGAAGCTGTTTCATATTAAGGACAGTCCATACAACAATTCTGTCAAGCCCTTCCCATCATAGCTTACCTAAACTGGAGAAATTAATCTCCTGTCTGATAGGGCTGAAACCATAGAAACACCATTAATATCCATTGACCATAGAAGCCCATTTAGAAGAATGTTTTAACAACTCTTAAAAAAAAATACAGAGGCCTTATGAGGGATGAAAGAGGAATAGAAATTCCAGCACAGAAAAAGCAAATACCCAACAGCGCCAAATGCTATCCCAACTCAACAACCACAACCACAAATAAACCACCAACCCCGCAAATAGTATCTCCATACTCAAACGTGAACAAACGCTATTTTATTTGGGCTAAATGACACCAACAAACATGATGATATCACTAAAGTCTACAACATTAACAGCAGCTCTCATGCATGAACTATCTCCCCTGATGAAATCATCAAAATTTCCAGAGATGGCCCTGAGTTCAAGAACGATGGCCCAGCGTGACCCCACGGTTTTGTAGAGTCGTTTGCAAGAATGAGTCTAGCAAACACAAATTCATTTATAGAATAAAAACAAGCAACAAATCCAACACCAACCATAATACGTTTCGCTCACAGCCTAACCTATCCATACTGCAACATGCCCGCTCCCGTGAACACTACTCAGAACTTAAAAGATGCCAAAACCTAGGAAAGACTAATTTATACATTGACTATCATGCTGACTGTATCAAAAGTAAGTCTCGTAACCCATGTCCCAATATCCAACCACCCATCCAAAACTAAGTATGCATGCCCATAACTTCCTCAATACCAACCACTACTTAACTTAAATACAAGCTAATGAATGCAAGAAACTTTGTAAACAAAATGCCTGAATTCCTCATCTCACTAAATACAGCTATATTTGACATTATATTTGTCTGCAAAATGTGGCTCAGCAAATCCTTCCCTGACTCCATTACCACAATAAGAGACTATCATGTTTACCAGTCCAATCGAGACAGACGTAGAGGAGATGGTGTTGCTATCTTCTATAAAAAGTCCCTAAATCTAAAATATATTCTGTTACACAGAAGCTCGCTCTTTTTGACAGCATTGTCTGCGAGCTGCCCTTAAATAGCACAATTTGTTTCTTACTATGTTACAGAGCCTCTGATTATGATCTCGCACATGCGAACAAGTTAACTTCCCTACTAATGTGAATCCATACATGCAACCCTGTACAATGTTTTTACTAATCTGGGGCTGGATCACTAGTAACTAACAGTAGCTGGTAGTAACTGGACTCAACAACTGCCTTGATCTCATGTTCTGCAACAGTTTAAACTCAATTTATGGACTACAAATAAAACAAATGCTCTGTCTTACACATTAGTAAAAAAAAAATCAGAAAACAAAACACAAACTGGACAGATTTGACCTCGAAAATGACCCCCACTCTGTCAAGGATCTTGAAGTACTCCTCTCTAATGATCTGTGTCAGAGCCCACTGTAACAACATTGCCAAAAAAGCATTAAGAGTTGTTAACTTAATCTTGTGTAATTTCTTCTCTAGTAATATTGCACTGCTAACTAGAGCATACAAAACATTTGCTAGACCAATTCTCGAATACAGCTCATCTGTCTGGAACCCGCACTGCATATTGGACATTAATACATTTGAAATGATCACCTTAATTAGTAAAATAAACTAGATATAAATTGCAATTTGGGGATTAGGGAAAATACCTATAAATCTTATTAATAAATTTCTGTTGAGAGCTGGTTATAAAGGTATAAAGCAGAGTAGAGGTGAGATAAATAGTAAATAATTTTTAGTTAACTACAATAATAATAAGGAAATGTTGATCGATAATACTTAATGATATACACAGGTGTGTTGTACTAGTAAAAGCAAATCAGACAGAAGCGTTAATTTGTGAGTTGGTGGGGGGGAAAGGGGGGGAAATGTTAGACATCCTACAAGTTGACTCTTTTTTAGAATATGTTATAAAGATGTAAAGTTATGGTAGAGTCATTGATATTGTGAAAGTATGCCAGTAGGTAGGTGGTTGTGTCTTTAAATATAAATGATTTTAGATAAAAACAAGTGTAAAATACATAAATTCTAAAATGTACAATTTAATTTGAACAAAGTATATGTAATGATTGTGGAAGAAACGCACGAAATGTATTTGTAATCAATGGACACGCTTTCTACAAGATGTAACGAAAGATGATTCGATTTTTTTCTTTTTGTGTGTGTAATAATAAAAACAATAAAAAAAATTAAAAAAATACAATTGAGCGAGTCCAGAGATATTTCATGAGAAGAGTCCTCCACTTCTCTGCTCGCAACAGAATACCTTATGCCACTAGGCTT